TTTAAGTGAGTTACATTTTAGACACAATATTGTCTGTTTTGAACAAATAGTTCTTCTAACTGAATTTATTACATTTAAAAATCTGACAAAACATAAAACATACCTTTAGTAAGGTTAAATAAAATGTGCCCCTAAAACCAAGGAAATCCGTTTATGTATGTATGTTTTGGCGCCATATCAGCAACAATGGCTACATTCATGGCAACATTAAAAGTATCATTTCAATACATAATTTACAATAATATAACATTTTCTTAAGAATAATCACTATACAAAAACATACAAGTAACAACAATAGTACTGATAAAAATAATTTAGAATATTTCAATTTAATCAATGATAAAAAATTCTTCCAAGAGAGACCTTTTTAAAAATGTCTTTTAATGTATTTTCGGAGTAAAAATGTTGTGTAATATAATTTCAAATTGGACATTTTATTAAAATATATTTTACACTCAAAAAAGTCAAAAACTCAGTTTAGGTTTAAATATCACCCCTTAATGGAAAAGATAATTTTTATTATTTATGAGGACTACTACTAAAAAACAAATTCAACCCAAGACTGTGCTGTTGTCAGCCTAGTGTGTCTTGGCTAGGGCTGGGTATCGAGTTTGATACTTTTTAGGCACCGACCGAATTGCCTTGATACCATCGAGTATCGAAAAACGTCTCATTGTTCGAGAAGGGTCTGGCTGCAGACTTGCACTTGCATTCTCAGACTTGCACTCTCAGACTTGCACTCTCAAGACACTTGCGCTTCCGCAATTGACATCACTTGCAGTCTTTTTTATTTTGTTCTATTTATTGATTACTTTTTGTTTGAATCTCTCAACATTTTACAACAGTAGCCAGGTGGTGAAGACAAGAAAAAAATTAATTAATTACAATGTCACTTGCAATCGCCACTTGCACTCTCCGCTACCTGCGACGTCACTTGCAATCGATACAAATCGTGCGTGTTGCCAATGGAGACAAGAAGCTGTGATGGTGATTAAATGATTAAAACTAATTTTATACTATAACGTACAGGGTCCTGCAAGAAAAAGACAAGACCCGCAAATCCGTGGCTACAGAACAGCAGAATATGAACGCAATGCACAAAGTCTCTCGTTAAGCGTTTTCCTCCTGTAGAAAAACATAAA